ATGCATGACCCGACGGAGCGCCCCGCCTTCACAGCCAACGGCATGGCAGAGGAGCGGCGCAAGATGTGGCGCCCAAAAAAAATTGATGGCACGGCGCGTGCAGCATCACGGCTATCTCATGCTCGAAGTATGCGTCGAACACTTCCCCAGAGCAAAGCCTGCGATGGGTGGATGCCGAGTTGGTCGCATGTTTTGGCGGGCCATCGCCCGTGGGAATAGAAGCGCTGGCTACGACGGCTGGGCGGCCCGCGAGCTGAAATTGATGTCCTCGACGCTCGTTTTCGTGATTCAGGACCTGCACTACCTCTGGCTGGACGCGACGAAGTATCTGGGAGCCAGCGGTAAGTCACAGACCGCGGCGGTGCTGGAGCGGCCAGACGACGTCGTGAACTTGCAGAAATTATTATTCTCTTGGAGGGTGGTTGGCATTCCATAGAAGCGCGGTGCGCCGCGCCCGATTGGCGCGGCAAGTGTACTCTTGAGAAGCTGGCTTACGGCATGTATGTGAAGAAGCGTTTCGCGCACCGCAGGCGGCTCAGTTTGCTTGCGAAGCGGAGACGTCAGTGCGCCTTGCTGCGCGTTGTTGGCTGAGAGCGCGCGTGACTGCGCAGGCTGGCATGGGGCGCGACATCAGCAAGTGCTACGACCAGGTCCCCCACGAGGTGGGGATAGCCTCACTCCATGCCGCTGCAGTTCCCTCGGACCTGGCGGCGGTGTCTTTCGCGGCGTGGTCTGGCCCACGACATTGCCGAGGTGCTGGGGTACTATCTGATGAAGTGGTCTGGCCATCCCGAAAATTGGCTCAGGGAGACTCCCGTGCGCCCAAGGCCCTCTGCTCGGCGCTCGCGCCCTGGGAGGTCGAGGGCGAGCAATTCCTGTTCATGGACGACCGCCTCCTGGCGTGCACGAGCGACAAGCAGCTGATCGACGACATCGCCACGACCGACCGCTTCGACGCCGAGACGGGGGCCGTGGAGAACCGGGGCAACCGCCAAGAGTGGCACCGCGGCGAGTTCCGCCGCATCGAGCACATCGGGGTCGAGGCCGCCCCCGATGACCCCACGGCCCCCGTCGCGCCAGCGGGGGGATGGAAGAAGGTTTACGCAGCCATCGCGGCACTACGACAGTTGCCTGGAAGTTCACGCACGCGGCTGCGAGCTGCTGGTGCATATGTTGCACCCCGATGGCTTTGGTGTTGCCCAGTATTTACGCTACCACCTGTGGATGTGGCTGCGAAGCTTATGAATTCTATTTTGCGGACAAAATGCCCCTGGTGGTGTCGTGGGCGCTTTTGGCCCTTGCAAATTCAGTTTCGCCCGGTGTACTTGAATGTTCTCACGGCCGTGCGCCGACTGACGGATTGGGAGTTGGACTACAACCCCTAGTCGAGCACAACCTTCAGACCTTCTTCGAAGCGAATGGTTTTGTTTTCGTGCAGTACGATACGGAGAGAAGCGTCAGATTCCAGCTGGACCCAGAGGAGTCGGACCCGAGGGCGAAGCGTATTTTTCAAGGCCGGCAAGGTCTTTGGAGTTCCGAAAGTGATCGAGTATGTCATCTTCTGCGAACTGTTTGCCGTTTGCGTGCTCTGACGGCGGCGGCTCCAATCCGTCGTGATTTTCCTGGTGTGAGTGACGCTGATGTCGAGGCCCTCTCGGGCAAAGCGTGGAAGAAGTTTCGAGACGCCCTCTCCCCAGCGGAGTGGCAGAATGTTATCATATACGTGTGGGGCGGCCAGCTCACACACGCGCGGGGGGACGACTTCGATTGTGACCCGTATTGTCCGTGCTGTGGTGGGCCCCACTGGCCGTCCGTCCGTCACTGCGTGACGGAGTGTGCCGCCTTCGCGGATTTCAGGAGCCAGCTCACCACCTTCTACGGCGCGTCGGCGACCTGGTGGACCAGCCAACCGAGAATTACCTCGAGTTCGGGATGGACCACTCTGTCGGTACATCGTGTTGCTGAGCGGAGATCAGAGTTGATGGTGATACAAGTCGTCATGGGCTTGTTCTATGTATCCAGGGGTTTGGGAATGCGGAGTCACAAGAAGTCTTGTGCTGGAGGAAGACTGTCTGCTTCAGATATCATATATTGCAGAAAAGTTGTGCAATAGAGCCTCTCTAATGACCTGATCTTGATCCTACTTGGATGTTCAAGGATTGCTCCTGTGCTTCCTCATCCTGATCGTCATTGATATTATGATGCCTTGGAAGTCGCTACTACCAATATCTTGGTTGTCTAAAGTCTATCCAAGTTCTAACTCCAATTCGGTTGTTCCTGAAGTACACCTAGCCCCCTGCTGCCGCCGGGCAACGTGTGGAGGTTGCTGGGCATGCTGCCCGGCAACGAGATCCACGGTAAGGAACGGAACATCGAGATGATCATGCTTGAACTTCTCAAGTCCATGTACGGACTGGTTCATGCACCTCATCTGTGGCAGGTGGCTCTATCCTTATGTTTGGTCGACGTTCTGCGAGCACGAGTCAGCCTGTGGGATGAGAACTTCGTCTACTGGACCTACGATGATCTACCCGATCAGAAGCGCAACCTTCATGAGGCGAAGATGGCGACAGATGGAGTTGCAGCAACGCTCGCGATTCATGTAGACGACGTGTTGGTAGCAACTCGATCGAAGATCCAGACATATCTCACTCAACTCCTTGAAACCAAATGTGGAGCCGTGAAGCGTCAGAAGCTAACGATATTCGACGCTGGCCGATGGAACGAGATTGCTTCAGCAATTAGACCACCTTCAGAAAATTGCATTATGCGAAGTTCCCGACGGACAAGATTAGAAGATGGTGAGTGGTCAGTTACGCCAATGGCTTCAGAAGCAGTCTTACTTCGATGCTGTTCCTGCGCCCGTGTAATATTCATATCAACGACGGAAGTTGATTTATACCCAGGGGATCTCCAGAGGGCCCGCTGAGTTCCCAGGGCTTCGGACGGTGATCATCGGTGACCATGGCCCTGTGGCATACGACAGTGAGGTCGATTGCCAAACGGCGGAGAACAAACACGCAGATGCAAGGATTCAAGAACGAGTCGAAGATAGTCCAAATCAAACGTTCAAATGCTTTGCTCAGGCGAGCTTAGAAGGACACTTCACCAGTTGGATTGCATTACCCTATGATGATGCCGCCATTCTGCCTGAGAGCGATGGGAGATGCGAACCACACGACGAAGACAGCGATTTACCCTCAGGAGGGCCAGATTGTTTTGTTGATGGAAGATCGAGATCTGACGGCGAATGATGATTGCACTCTGACCCCAGCAAGTGTGGCGGCGATGTCAGGAAACAGCCATATCCTGATAGCAGAGAGCAAGAAGGCGAAGGAGGACCACTCGAACTCGATGGGCGAAGCGAAATGCGTATTGGCAATCGCGTATTGGCCGGCCTGCCACAGGAAACACCCCCAGCGGCCTCGGGCCTGTTTGAGCAGATGGCCCCTGGGGTCCGAAACCGACTCCAAGGGATCAAACCGAACGCGAGGGACCCTGGGGTGATCGGCGTCGGGAAAGCCAGCGAGCGCCAGATGGTGCAGGATCCTACTTGTGTAGTACGCGACGTGACGGCTGGCCCACCAGGCGAGACTCCACCGATGGGCCCAATCTTCATCTCGCGGGCGCATGCTGGCACCCCCTCTTCCATGGCTTGTGAGCGACAACCCAGCGGACCGCGACGGCATCAGGCCCCCGGTCTTCCAACTTAAACAAGATCTTGGCCAACATATAATAAACTCGGTTCGGGTTAGTGCGTCTATTCTGGCCCGCAGCGAACCCATCAACAATCGCTCGGCAATCGGCGATGACCGTGACGGGTCCCGCTAAACGGCAAAGGCGCCAGCAAAAAGCCCAGAGCTCCGCGATGCCTATCTCCTGCAGCGCTCTGGGCAAAGGTCCAAAGATCGCCCCCTGGGAGTCGCCGCGCTGGCCCACCGACACCGCCGCCCACCCCCCCCGCGAGCAGAGGGGAAGATCGGGGTCGAGAGGGCTCTCATCAATGGCAACAACTCCAGAGAAGACACCCCCAGCCTGCGCCCTGTCGCTGAACGTCTGTCCAGTCTGCTCAGGAGACGGCTGGGGTCGCAGCTTCGAGTCCAACAGGCACCGAAACATGAAGGCGTCGTCTGAAAAGCAGTCCTGACCCGCTCCAGCGACGGCGTCGAGGTCGAGACCACCGCGCACAGCCTGAGAGAACTCGCAGCGAAACAGCCCATGCAAGGTGCCCCCTGACTCCTGCTGGCAGACTCAGCAGACAGGGGGCGAGGCAGCTCTCGACTGGTACAGCCTGAACTGGGCCCAGAGGCCCCCGGCGACGTGAGGAGCGAGGCAGGAGGCCCCCTCTCTGAAGCCCCCACGGATCAATGGAGCCGGCGCGTGCCTGGCCCGCCTGGTCGTCGAGGCGGATCCAGAGTCCCTGACCTGCTGGGCAGACGGAGTCTTGGGGAAGGACAGAGGCATCTGTATCTAAGCGCGGCGTTGCGTGAGCCGCGAGGGCGGCGCTGTGCGTCGTTATGTAATGTGTGAAACGCTACGCTGGAAGTTCGACTCCTCTCCCAGGCTGCGATCTGTGTTTAGTCGCATTGCTGACTACGCATCCGTCATCTATATGTGGCACCTTCCACTGGGATGGCAGGCTGTGACGCTGGCATGCTCCTGACTGCAAGGAACGAACTTGGTGCATGGAGCATGGGCCGTGCTCTGATGACCCCTGTTTTTGTGTTGTCCGTACATTAGTACGTTTCAGGTGAATCCCCTTCCCCCAGAAGCCTCCAGAGGTCTCCCGAAGGTATCCTGAGGTCCCAGCCTCGGGAGGCTCCAAGAGGCCTCGGGAGGCTCACAAAGGCCTCGGGAGGCAACAACAGCAGCGAAAACATCCGAAGGCCTCGATCATCGATCCTCCTGCTCCCCCCCCACCTCCCTGTTTCCTCCTCGTGGTCGCCCGTGCTGCGGCGAACAGAAGGCGGCGCTACAGCCCCTCTCCCACCGACCCTGGCCTTGCAGCCCGGGAGGCTCCTCTCCAGGTCCAGGCACATTGCCTGACAGCGGCAGATGGACAAAAAAAGAGGGATGAGGGTGGGAGTGTTGGTCGATTCCAAGGAGAAAGCGTGATCCACCGCCGCTTTACTATGGAAAATTCCCCCCCCGGGAATCCCCCCCCTCCCTGCAGGAACCCTCCCCCCCCTCCCCCCCGCACCCCCCCCTGCCTCCCCCCTGCCTCCCCCTCCGGAAAACCGAGAGGGGGGCCACTACAGGTTCGAACCCCCCCCCACTCCCCCCCCCCAGAAAACCAGAGAGGGGTCATTGTCGGTTCGATCCTCTCCCCCTCGAAAACCGGGGTGGGGTCACTACCGGTTCGAACCCCCCACAAGATGTTATGCTACGTCATCGGCCTCCTCCTCCTCCTCCTCGCCCTCCCCCTCCTCGTCCTCCCCCCCCAGGTGAACAGGCAGAACGGCCGCGGCAGGGGCAACGGGCCAAACTGGCCCCTCCTGGTTGTAATTTTGTGCGCGTGTGTCGTGGGTATGGAGCCGATTGGCACGGCTAACCCATGCCTTCCTCCGGAGGGCGCCCCCTACGGGATTCGGTTGGGGGGAGGGCTCGGGTCCTTTAGGCGCGGGTCGGCGGATCGGTTTCCTCGGAGCCCTCCCTCTCGGTCCTCTTCGGTCTGGCTCGGGGGCGGGGATGCTCAAACCTCCCCGGATCCAACGCCTGAGAGGGCGGTTGGGGCTCCGGCCCTTTCCCTCTCGGCTCCATCCGGGGGGCACGCCGGGGCTGCCCCTGGTCCAGGCGACCCGGCAGCAGGTGGCGCATCTTTACCAGGGTCTTTAGGCCAAGAGCCCAGTTCGGACCCTATGCAGTGGGAAGCGGGTGTACACAGGAACCGAGTGCGACACTCTCGCAGGAGTGCGCACGGGAAGGCAAAGCGGAAACGCAAGCGCAAGCAGAAGCGCTCGATGGCAATGCGCAGATTGTCCCTTTCCTGCCAGGCCTCCCAGAGTCACCGGGGAAAGAGCCACGGTGAATGTCGTCACCTCCGGGGTGGCACTTGGAACACTAGGGGATGGGGGACCTTTGGCGGAGCAGAGCAACCCTTGAAAATCGAATCCTTGTTCACCCTCATGAATGTGAGACATTGGGACTTCTGCTTGCTGTCGGATCTCAGTTTCCCTGAAAATGGAGTGAGAGAGTTTGAGCAGGACGGAGTAGTTTGGACAGCTGTCATCAGAGGCAAAGTGGGTATAGCTCTGAGTGAGCGACACGCGGTAGAATGGAGGAAGGGAAGGGAGTCAGGTAGTAGCAAAGGGGGGGAGGAGAGGAAGGGGGCGAGGTGTGTGTGTGTCTATTGTGATCCCACGACAGGGGGTTCATCGAGGCCTATCTCTTGTGGCCTGCTACGCTCCATGTTCAGGTCCACGCTACGCGCGGGCCCGCGACCGGCTCTACGAAGAAGTGTCACATGTGGAAGGGCGCACGAGAGGTGCCGACAACGTGTGGATTCTGGGGGGAGAATTCAATGCCGAACTCGGTCCCTGCAGGGACCCCGAGGAATCGATGGCGCTAGGGCCCCACGGGGCCTCTCGCCGATCCGACAGCGGAACGGAGCTGTTGGAATTTTGTAAGAAGGAAGGGCTTCTCGCCTTGATCACAGCGTACCCACAGAGGGAAGCGTCCACGTGGTGGTACCCCCGTTTTCGCACGGGCCACCAGCTGGATCACTTCTTTACCCGCTCTCGGGATCGCTGGCATGTCCACACTTGTCGAACCCTCCATTTTGAATCGGTGCCTGAACAGGGGGTGTCCCGACGTGCTAGGCGGCGCCAGAGGCGCGCTGGTCCCCGGATCAGGGACGACGGCGCTACTGCTTGGGCGGCTTACACTGACCACCATCCCGGGGAGATCGGGCTCCGCCTCGGCGGAGCGCGGTGGAAAAAAGGGGCTAAGAGCACCCAGCGAGGAACAGCGTGTAACAATCCGAACTATTCGGGCATGGTCGGCCCCAGCTCCTCCGCGAAGCACCGTCGGGAGCGCTTTGCGGCCAGGCTCGCGGAATTGTTGGGGCGCGACAGTGACAGCCCACCGACGCGGCGGAAGATATGCGCCGTGACTCAAGAAGCGGGGATGGAGGTGCTTGGTGCCCGGCCAGACCGGGTTCAAAATCCGTGGCTCCGCGGCCACGAAGAGGAGAAAAAGGCATTGGACGCCACGGCCGCCGCCGCACTGCAGGCACAATGAGCAGCCGCAAAGGCCCGGCGCCGCACGCTCCGGGACTGGGAGCGCACTTACTGGGAAAACATCGGGCGGCGGGCGTCAGAGGCCGCTCACCGCGGGGACCACGCATCCCTATGCAAGCTGTTCAACGAGCTCCGTTCAGGTAAGCGCAAACGCCCCCCCGGGGCGCGCCAGCGTGGCGGACGTGGACAAGGAACGGGCGTCGTGGCGACGACACTTTGAAAAGATCTCGGGCGATGTTGGCCGCGTGGCCGATAAAGTGTGGGAGTCGGTGTCGCGCTCGCCCATGCCGGCCCTTTGGCTGGAAGCTGTCCCCGCGGACCTGGAGCTCGATCGTCGCGTAGCCAAAATGAAGACAGGGAAGCAACCCGGGAAGGACGGCTTCGTCGCCGGAGCCCTCCGTTTCAGTGGAGATGCGATTCGGCAGCGTGTGTTCGCTCTAGTTAAACAAATGTGGAAACTGGCAGCAGAGGGGGAGGAAGGGGAGGAGGCTGCAGGTTGGCCAGATGAATGGCGCCCGGGGATCGTTGCGCCGCTCTGGAGGAAAAAAACGCGACCGGGCGGGCAAAAACACCTGGCGCGGCATCGCGCTTCTTTCGGTTGGTTCCAATTGCTAGCGCGAGTCGTAGCATCGAGGGTGTCGCAGTGGTCCGAAGAGTTTGTGTGCGAAGAGCAATCGGGGTTTCGCAGAGGGCGCGGGGCCGACGACGCTCTGCAAGTGACCCGGAGGCTGATAGAAGAAACGCCAGCGATGATCCGCGATGATCCAATCGTGTTGTCTTGTCTGGATATAGAGAAGGCATGCCCTTGGGTCTGCCGGCCCGCTCTATGGCGATCGCTCGAGCTTCGCGGCTGTCCGCCGGGCATGCTCCGCGCATGTAAAGCCCTGCGCGAACGCACAGGATACAAGGCGCGGATTTTGGGAGGCGTGTCTGAGGAGTGGTGCCCAAAAACAAGGCCTCCGAGAAGGGTGCCCCTCAAGCACGCCTTTATTACATGTGTTCCATGGCGCTGTGCTCAAAGACTACCGGGGGCGTCGCAAGCGCGCGGCAGAGGCAGCAGGATTCACCCCCGGGGTGCCATGGGAGTATAGATAGATGGGCATCTGCAGAAAAAGGCCCGCCAGAGAAATCAAGAGATCACTGAAAAAAAGGAAATCTAGTTCCCAGCAGGGTGGTGCGTGCTACAGAGAAACCGGGCGGTCGGGCAGGCGGGCGGCGGGCGGGCGGGCGGGGATTTTAATAGACTCCTTAATGATTTTCTTTTGCAGCGGGAGCCTGTTGAAAACTGGGCGCTGTCTTGGAGACGGAGGCCGCTGACTACAGAGCGCTATCCTGGAGACGGAAGCACTCAAGTACAAAGTGGCGCGCGCTACAGAGAAGGCGGGCGGGCGGGCGGGCGGGGCGGGCGGCGGGCAACCGGGCGGGCGTGAGCCTCTACGCAATGATTCATACTGAAAACCTCTACACAAGGATTCCTATGGAGAGCCTCTTCAAAAGGATTCCGGTTGAAATCCTCTATACAAGGATTCATATTCAAAGCGTCTACACAAGGATTCCTTTTGAAAGTCGATGCAACAATATTCCTCTGGGGGCCTTCTACAAAAGGATATATACTGAAAGTTTCTACAGACGGATTCCTATTGAGAGCCTGTACATTCCTAATACCTAATACAAACCCTTCACAAAAGGAATACACTTGGAAACCCCAACAATAAAAGTCAAAGCAAATACAACATATTCCCAATTGAACGCCAAAAGAAAAGGATTCCTATTGAGAGCCTTCTACGCAAGGATTATCATCGAAAGTCTCTACACAAGGATTCCTCTTGAAAACCTTTACAAAAGAATTCCCAGTGGGAGCCTCTACAAAAATATTCCGACTGGAAACCTCGACACAAGGATTCCCATTGAAAGCCACTGCAAAAGCATTCCTATTGACAGCCGCCACAAAAGGATTACTCTTGAGAGCCTCCACAAAAGGATTCCGATTGAGAGCCTCTACAAAATAATTGTCATTGATAGCCCCTACATAAAAAAAACGCATGAAAACCTCTACAACAGAACTCCGAGATTCCTAACGGGCGGGTCGGGCCGAGTCGGGTCGGACGCTAACGGGCGGGTCGGGTCGGGCGGGCGGGACATTAAAGCACGATGCGTGTGCGAATGGATCACGAGAGCCGTCGCAGGATCAGCATGAGTCGGATCGGCGGAGATGCCCTTTCGCCGAACGGCCTCATCGTCGGCGCACTCTGCATCTCTGACAGTGTTAGAAAGTTGTTCCCAACCAGCCTGTGTTGTTGGGTCCTCGTTTTGAAGGGACGGTCCCCGCGTTCCTCCTCCTCCTCCTCCTCTCCTCTCCTCCTCTCCTCTCCTCCTCCTTCCTCCCCCTCTTCACTGCGTTTCACCCACCCAGTACAGCGCTTCGCAGCCCCATAGGGAGCCCCACCGAAGGCCCCAGTGCCACCGTCCACGCGCGCCCCCCCCAACTCAGCACAGCGCTTCGTGGCCCCATAGGGAGCTCCACCGAAGGCCCCAGTGCCACCGTCCACATGCGCCCCCCCCACTCAATACAGCGTCTCGTGGCCCCATAGGGAGCTCCACCGAAGGCCCCACTGCCACCGTCCACATGCGCCCCCCCCACTCAGTACGGCGTTTCCTCTTGCCGTCCAGGCAGGCGCGGCCGCCCAGTCCAGCAGCGCCTCTTCCGGGAAATCCAAGTTGCCTACCTTCACGCCCTGGGGGCGGGCGTGCTCGAAAAACTCCGCGACGCGCCTGTTGTAGTCCTCGACCTGGGCGGGTTTCAC